TATGGTCTAGTGGTATACAAATTCGTCATGATTGAATTTATTTTTCTCGTATGACTGCATTCACGAGGAGTAGTGTTTCGTGACTATTGGTTCAATATGTTATATATGAATTTATCGATTGGTATAAGTAAAGTCGGGTTTAGCCCTCTTTTGACGAAAAATTACTAGAGGTATTACCCTAATAAAAAAGCATGGTTCGAAAAGGCACGCTTAACCTTACGCTTAGGCATGCCTAGGCGCAAGGCAGTGGCAAAACACCTCGCCTAGGGGTTTCGCGCCTAATTAGATACTAGAACATGTCAATGGAGTAAGGTAACATATAAGTCTCTCCCAACCATTGCTAGATGGAGCTAGGAAGTCAATATTAAATGAGAAAAATAACATCAACTATGAAATTAATTTTCTAAATCAAAATTTTCAATAGCTCAAGAACTCTGTGGGCTATTTAGCCATGATTATATGAATTCGTGAGCTATGTTCTTGTCATTAAGTGTTGAGTAAGTTATTAATCATTTTAACTTAAATGAGGAAGTGTTGTAGATTATTATTTCATTCCTCATGCAGTGTGAATTGCTATGTTTCTTACAACGCCTAGGCACGCTTGTCTACGCCTAGATGAGCTAGGCGCAAGGCAAAGGCTCCACGCCCGCCTTACGCCTAGCGCCTTTTTGAATCTTGTGAAAAAGCATATAGAAGACAGAGACTGGTGAGTAGGAATTCAACCACAACTTTAATAAAGATAACGAACTTAGTTTTTCCATGTTTTCGTAATTTATTAAGATGGAATCAATCGTCCGTCACATTGAGCATAATGAAAGGGAGTCAAATTTTACTAGAAGTTAAGTTTGATGTTGCTTTACCCTAAGATTAGATTCAGATTAGAAAGAAGAAAACAAATCGTTAAAGTAATTCTCAAATTAAGTACACATAGATTATTAGGTCGATGCACAGTTATGTCATTAACCAGCATATAAAGAAGATGTTTGGAATATGCCAACCTAATATTCTTACTCTTTAGCTTAGCCATGAGACATACTTTTGCTAGCTAGCTAGATTCCCCTCTATCCCACCTACAAACAGATGCTTGTTTTTTTTTCTTCTTCTTATTCTTTTTTAAGCTAAGCTAAACCTTAATCAAGTACAAAGCACACGGGTTAAGTAGCGTGGAACGACGGATTGGATTAGAGGCTAGGGGGAGAATACATGTAATTAGCGGCTAATTAGCCTCGAAATCCCTAAACTAATGGAAATCAAAGTATGCCTAGCTCCTTGAGCCGTGCACATACCGACCAAAACAAAAATTGTTTGTTTAGCTGTTGAGTGCCCTTGATTGGGGCAGAGTTAATTAAGAAAAACCCCAATTAATAATTGTATGGGGTATAGGATTAGCATGTGTAAACTTGCAGGTTTCTAGCTGTTCATCAGCCGGTGTTTCGCTTTTGCACGAGGGTCTATTGCCTAGCAGCCTTAACCAACAATTTGGTATATACCATACAATGCAGTCAAAAGCGCGATTCTACCTAGAAGCGGAAAAGGGGTAAAATCATAAAGCGTAGAATCAAAGCGTAAAAGCGTAAGTTTTTGAAAGAATACTGAAAAATAACTAAAAAGCTAGGACATATACAATGTAAAATATGAATGCACGGAATTTAGATAAGTTAATAAATACATGCAATTCATGCCTCAAGTAGAGCAGCATCTTAATAATAAGTTTGTAAACATAAATTTTAACAATAAGCCACTTCTTCCTCTATGCTAATGCATTCGGGAAGAGCCTAGCTGGTGAACTAGATTACTCTATTAAAGTTGAGAATGCATCCAAGTACATGATATGTATCTTTTAATTTCAAATGTATCATATTGTTGGTGATTTACTTTTAAAATATACTTTTTATAATTAATTTCATGAAAAGAATACTCATTTAGTGAACTAAAAGCGTAAAAACGTAAAGCGTTTTGGTGAACTAGAAGCGTAAAAGCGTAAGCTTTTAAGCTTTAAAGCTTAATTTAGTCCGATTTTATACACTTAAGTTTTTATATGGAAACGAAAGCGTTTTGGTGACCTAAAAGCGTAAAATCGTAAGTTTTTAAGTTTTAAAATGCGATTTTGACTGCATTGATACCATATACTGTATCAAATATGATATCGGGACAGCTTGATTTCTTCGACTGTTAAATTGAATTATTGTAATTTATACTTGTACTAGCTTTGAGTTCAATAAGTTGGTCGTAAGTCATTTTTTGTTAAGATATATAATTAGGTGTGTGCCTCACAACAATATTTTTTATACGCATGAAATTGTTGTGTAGTAGAATAATGCAAACCTAAACAACATTGGTATTTTTTACTAAGTATATGTAGTAGTACATGAGCTACTCGTGCATGATGGTATAGAATTGAATGTTATTAGTATATTTTAATAATTTTGTCGAATAGAAGCATGACTCAGGAATATGTGAGCATTGCCATTTGAATTAATTTTTTAAAATATATCAAACTGAATATTATTGTGTAGATCACATAAAATAAAAAAATTTGACGCAAATTTAAATAAATTTGGAGTTGAAACAAAATAAATAGATATGTAATATGAATTAATAACAATAGGGTAACTGAAAAAAAGAGAGAGTAAAATTTTTAAGTGGAATTATATATAATTCAAATATTTAGATTTAATTCTCAATTTTTTTGCTATAATTTTTGTGAATATCTAAAGAGAAACATACTTATGACTGATGAGCAATATAAAAGTTGCTAAGAGTAAAATTCGGGAAAATGTGTCAATGGTATTAGAAATACTTCAGGAAGTTATGAGGGATTTAGCTATCAAAATGTAATTTATTTTCAACATTTTTTTACCTATGTAATTTGTAAACATATAAAATTATAGTAACTAATCATAAGAAAAATATATTTAAGTACTAAAATATAATTTTTCAAAAACTATAATGCTTAGCCAAAAAAATCCAGATAAAAAATAAAACCATAACTTCTTAAATGACTAAAAATTACAAATGAATAACCCAACAATGAATTTGAGTTATATGTATTCCAAATGAAAGTGTTTTTCACAATAAGATACAAGCCTCTGAAATTCAAAAGTACAACTACATCAATTTGAGATACACTTATTCAACACATCATTCCTATTTCCTAGTGCATTTAAATGGAAATATAAGAGTTGAAATCTCGCTTTTCAAGTTAAGTTTGAAATATATGGTTATGAAGGGTATTTTTGTTCCAACAGTCTCTTTGTCACGTTATTCTTTAAATTATCTCATTTAATTCAACGAGGAAAAATTATCTCATTGATAAAACTATCCATTTCAAATCAACCAATTCTCTAAATCCTTCAATTTCAGAATCACTATCTCCAACTGAGGGCCGATTAGCACCACCTTACCTACTGCCGTCTAGCTCCAGAGTGACAGGCAATTTGGTCATATTATTATTAGGTTGCGGCCCAATTAACCGCGATGGGAGGATTGATTTTTGTGGGTGAATGAGATTGGACTTGGTTCATCTCACGTGTTACGAATCCATAAATCCAATCCATAGAAATTGGGCTGGATATTTGCCTTCACTCAGAATTACGTAGCCAATATGATTCAATGGACTCTTATTTAGCCCAATTGGAAATTGGTGATGGTGACACATTTTAGCCCACTAATGAAGGATCCGACCATTTCTTGTTGCCACGTAAACGTAGTTTATAAATGTAATTCTGTGCCGATCATTGGCGATGCAAAGATAATCATCGACAAATGTTTGGCTAACGAGTTTGTTGACGCTAAGGTTGGTGCAATTCTGAGGGAGATAGCGTCGTTATTGGTCAATGGTGGGTGTAACTTTGTCTTGTATTTTGTGGGACGTGAACGTAACAAGGAGGCTCATTTAGTGGCCAGAAAATCCCTAGCTTTGTCACCTCGGTTATTAGCGAGGTTCGACTTTGTATTTTGGCTTCGTAGTTTGTTAAAACTCTGTTATGATCTTATCTTTCCTCTCTTCGAGAGTGATTGAATGGCAAAAAAAAAAAATTGCAATTTCTAAAATTCTGGCTAATGGTCTTGCAAAAGCGCTATCAAAGATCATGAAAGTTTTACACTCTGTGCATTGGGATTTGGTTGAATTTTTATTATGGCTCAAACTTTTCACAAATATACTACTTTGTCCCGTATTTTTTGAAACTCGTGTCCTGATTAAAACAATGTATCATCCACACTATTTTGGTCAGACGTATTGGTTGACCATCAAACACCACCGTGAAGGAAGCTACGGCGGCTAGGCCTTCAATCAAGCAGGTGTTTAGCCTTTTGTAGGAAAGCTCCGACTCCATGCACAGTGGGTTTGGTTCAACCACTGGAAAGTGGCGCCGCGATGTGATTTTTCACAGTATTGGTTGACGATCCTTGTGTTAAGTAAGTCTAGCTAAGTAGCTAGCTGCTTTCTGCATAATAGTAACCTTTCCTTTCTTGTGTGAATCTCCACCGAGACGCGCGTCCTCCATTCGGCGGATGAATTTACTCATCGTGAGCTCCGTCTTTCTTGTAGTATTTTTCGTTCTGACTTCAACAACATAAGATTCCCACATCTGCTGCCTGTTACTGTCTAGTGCACATTAGAGCTCATTTTCTACAGACGGATGCCGGTATATATGATAATGAGACGGGTTAATTAAGTTCTCCCTCTCGCCGGCCATGTTTTATTCTTCTTCATTGGAATCCTCCTCCAATAAGGATTGGATTAGCCCTCAGCTCAGCTGAGTATATACTTCGACGGAATCCATGCAAGTCCTTTAACTTGCATCATATATACCATCTCCAAGGCTAGGGTGATTGTTTTTAACCCTCTTGTCTTCGTAAGTTTCACGTTACTTTCACTTGATTTCACCGAGGGAATTGGACGTTTTTTGGCAGATTCACATGGATCTATCTATATATAAACTCTACAACCTTTTGAGTAGCTCTTCACTAATTAATCACTTGCCCACTTTCACAACATGGCTCCAATGGCGGTATCGTCTAGCAGTCTTATCATTACCGTCTTCATATGCTTCTCATTGGCTGCCACATCACTGTCCACGTCGGATGACGACAACGACCGTCAGAGCTACATCATCCACATGGACAAATCAGCAATGCCGAGCTCCTTCCCCACTCCACACGATTGGTACTCTTCCATCCTGTCCTCCATATCGGGCCACGAGAGCGGCCCAATCATCCATCTCTACACCTACACCCACGTCATGAACGGCTTCTCCGCTGTCCTCTCCAAGGCCCAACTCGCCAGGCTCGAACGGACCCCGGCCCACATCGCCACGTTCCCGGAGTCCATGGGCCGACGCCACACCACCCACACCCCGGACTTCCTGGGCCTCAACACCCGCGCCGGGCTGTGGCCCGCCGCCAGGTTCGGCGACGACGTCATCATCGGGGTACTCGACACCGGCATCTGGCCGGAGAGCCAGAGCTTCGGCGACACGCTGATGCCCCCGGTCCCCGCCAGGTGGCGCGGCACGTGCGAGACCGGGACCGACTTCAACTCCTCGCACTGCAACCGGAAGCTGATCGGGGCCCGGAAGTTCAGCCGGGGGATGGAGCAGCAGCGCCTCCCGATAAACACCACCGAGGACTTCGACTCCCCACGCGACTTCCTCGGGCACGGGACCCACACGTCGTCCACCGCCGCCGGCAGCCGGGTCGACAACGTCGACTACTTCGGCTACGCCAAGGGGACCGCCTCGGGGATCGCGCCCATGGCCAGGCTGGCAATGTACAAGGTTCTCTTCTACGACGACAATCAGGACATTGAGAAATCCTACGACGCCGCTGCCACCGACGTCCTCGCCGGGATGGACCAGGCGATCGAGGACGGCGTCGACGTGATGTCGCTGTCCCTGGCGTTCTTCGAAACGCTGCCGTTTTACGAAAACCCCATCGCCGTTGGAGCATTCGCCGCGGTTAAGAAGGGCATCTTCGTAGCTTGCTCGGCTGGAAACGGTGGGCCCCACGGATACACCATGCAGAACGGAGCTCCGTGGATCACGGCGGTGGGAGCGGGCACCGTGGATCGTGATCTCGGAGCTCTGATCGCTCTCGGGGAAAACAATTCGATCACGGTGTTCGGACATTCCCTGTACCCGGAAAATCTGTTTCTGGACAGAGTCCCTCTATACTTCGGCAGGGGAAATCGAAGCAAGGAGACCTGTGGAGACGTTGACCTAAAAGAAGCTGCGGGGAAATTCGTCTTCTGCGATCACGATGAGAATGGAGAAGCTGGGTTTGGACCGTCCGACGAGGCCAGCGCGGTGGCCGGGGTCATACTCAGCACGAACGACGGCGAATTCGAAGAACACGCCGACGATTTCGAAACGCCAATTGTGATGGTGAGCACTAAAGATGGAGACTACATCAAGAGCTACATACTCAACTCGACCGAACCGACCGTCAGCGTCAGTTTCGGTTCGACCGAACTGGGTACCAAACCGGCCCCGAAAGTTGCCTACTTTTTAGCCAGGGGGCCCGACGTGCGATCCCCCTGGATCCTGAAGCCAGACATACTGGCTCCGGGATACGACATTATCGCCGCATGGGCCCCGAACGTACCGTTCGCCCCGATTCGCGGAGGAGAAGATTACCTGAAGACCGACTACGCCATCATCTCGGGGACGTCCATGTCGTGCCCGCACGTCGGCGGGATAGCGGCACTGCTGAAGTCGGCACACAGGGACTGGAGTCCTTCCATGATTCGATCGGCCATGATGACGACAGCCGACATTCTCGACAATGCCGAAGGAACTATAATTGATATGACGACGGCAACTGCAGGGACGCCTCTGGATTTCGGGTCGGGTCACGTGAACCCGAATCGGGCTATGGACCCCGGTTTGGTTTATGATGTCGGTTTCAAGGACTACATGAACTACTTGTGCGCCATGAACTACACGAAACCGCAGATTGCGGTCATCACCGGGGAGAGCCCCGGTTCAATTAGCTGCGAGTTCGCGACGCTCGATCTGAACTACCCTTCGTTCAGCGTGGTGATGAACAATACGAACACCAGTACAATGGTTTTCCAGAGGGTGGTTACGAATGTGGCTGTCGGTGGGAGCGTTTACCGCGCCGATCTTGAGATCCCGAAAGGGATGAAAGTAGTGGTGGAGCCGGCGACAATCCGTTTTGATGAGAAGTATAGTACGGCTGCGTTTAACGTGACCGTGGAGGTCGATTTGAGCGGAATTGGGGGCGTGGATTATGTTGGAATCAAGAGTGATTATATTGGAAATTATGGGTACTTGACTTGGGTTGAGCTGAATGGGACGCACGTCGTCAGGAGTCCTATTGTCTCCGTTGAGGCTTCTCCAAAAACTTAAAACTTCGATTGCAGAGATGAAGGCAAAATAATACAGGTTTATCATTACTTTCAATAAGAAATCGACAGAGACATCGAAACTAAAAGGTTTCATTTGGAATTTAATTTACCACATTTTCTTTATCTTGTACAACTTCTGTAACACCTTAGGCGAATCCCACATCGACAAAGCACGGGAGAGATCCATGGTTCATAAGTAGGAAACCGGCCTTAACTGACAAGACGCGTTTTGGGGTGTAATGGAGGAGTTCTTGTGAGAACTCCGAAGTTAAACGTGCTCAGTGTGGAGCACTACAAGGATGGGTGACCTTATGGGAAGTCACCCTGAATTGCACCCCAAGTCGAAATCCGTGCGGGTGTAGAGGCCCAAAGCGGACAGTATCTTGTCGGGAAAAGGTTCGGGATGTTACAAGTGGTATCAGAGCCTCTCCGCGTCCCTCTTGAACGATGGTGGGGCAAACCTCAACGAGGGCGTTGAGTCCCAAGGGGGGGTGTATGTAACACCTTAGGCGAATCCCACATCGACAAAGCACGGGAGAGATCCATGGTTCATAAGTAGGAAACCGGCCTTAACTGACAAGACGCGTTTTGGGGTGTAATGGAGGAGTTCTTGTGAGAACTCCGAAGTTAAACGTGCTCAGTGTGGAGCACTACAAGAATGGGTGACCTTATGGGAAGTCACCCTGAATTGCACCCCAAGTCGAAATCCGTGCGGGTGTAGAGGCCCAAAGCGGACAGTATCTTGTCGGGAAAAGGTTCGGGATGTTACAACTTCAGTGAATATTTCCTTTTTTCTATCGTTAAAACAAAAAACAAAAGCAGAAATGAAGTAATAAACTGAGGCAGTAATTCAAGTGATTTGGGGTACAATCTGAGCTAGAATGAAACAAATAACTTGTAATGTGATTCAACAAAAAGATGGCTTCATGCATCTGGAACTTGTCATTTACATGGATTTGACTACAGAATCTGTACTGGATGGGGAGGAAAACAAGCTGAGAGAAGAGACATGAAAGTTAAAGACAAACATATTAGCTGAGACATCAAAATGGCTTCAACATCATCCTCACCAGTAAAAGTATTTGCTCTTACCAAAAACTAACTCTAACATACAACAGGTAAATGAAAATGGCAGATGAAGGGAGTAAAAACACTCATCATCATGAAATTTGCACGGGGAAAGGGGGAAAATGATTCGGCTCGGTAATGCTGAAGGAGATCTCAGTAGATTTACAGTGCACTCCTCAGAAACTACATTTCATATTTATCTTACAACATATCCTATACAGTTTTGTTCTATGTAACAGAGAAAGCATACCACGAGTCTGGTCTATTTATGCAGCAAAGTTTGCAAAAGGTCCCAACAACTCTTCTAGCCACAAATTGCATCCACAAGCTTTCTCTTGCTCGTGGTATCTTCATGCAAGACAACCACATCCCTAACTTTTTTCAAAAAGCTCGTACAGCTAAGTGACACCAAAACCTTCGAGGTCCAGCCGTTTCTTGTACCGGTGTTGGTATATCGCCTCAAAAATTCCCAAGAAAATACGACAAGAATAGCTTACTAAAATCACATTGAGTTACATGTTTAGTAATAGTCTGGATCACTGGGCTTCTCCCACTCTATCCTCGTCTGAGAACTCATCAGAAGACACAAACCCATTACCTATCACTTCCAGACCCTCCTGCGGTTCCTATCCTTTTTGGCAAGACTTGAAGGATTGAAAACACTCAAAGGAGGAGCAGTAAGGGATGTCAATCCAACCCGTAACCATGGGTACCCTACCCGACCGTAACCGGTCAACGAGGGTAATTACCTGCTTTGACGGGTTAAGGGGCGGGTACGGATAATACCCGGTTTCAAAATAAAGGGTAGGGTACGGGTATGGTAATCGATAATACCCGCCCCGTTATACCCGCCCCGCTAACCAAAGGGTCAATTTCCCTTGAGAAATTTATTTTAGCTTGAGAAATTGAGTCTAGCTACCATTATTGATGATGAATATGTAGATGATTATTATGTTTGTGTGGATTGTAGAAGCAAGAACAATTATTATGTGTTTGTTGTTTTTATTTGTGTGGATTGTTGAAGCTAGAACAGTTACAACTTACAAGTATTGAGAATTTTTAATGGACAACAGTATATATATGCATATATGTGTATAAGTTCATAGTTTAGGATTCGTACTCATGGTTACCCGAATACCCGTGGTTACCCGGTGGGTAGGGTATGGTTATATCATTTTCATACCCGGTGGTTATTTGGTCGGGTATTTTAGAAAGCTCTACCCGGCGGGTTAGGAGTTGGTATAGGGTAAACCCGCACCCGACCCTACCCATTGCCATCCCTAGGAGCAGTTGGACCTGCTTTCGAATTACGAAGATTAGGGGTGGGCATTCGGTCGGTTCGATTTCGACCGAACCAAAATTATGAATACCGGGTCCCCGAATTCCACCAAACTTCAAACCGAATTATAATTCGGTTTGGTCGGCCTAAACCGAATTATAAAACCGAATTTGTGAGGCTACTTTGTATCTTCCTCCTTTTAAATTATTTTTCACCCCTAATATAAATAATAAATATGCAATTATATGCATTATTAATGATAAAATCAAACATTTCAACACATAAGTCATAAAACACTAACATGTTTCTAATATTTAAGTCTCAAAACAACTACAAACATAAAAATCCACCATTTGGAGCTTGCAATTATAGTAATTCGATTTTTCGGTCGGAACTTCGAAAATTTGGTTCGGTTTTCCTTCTGAAGTCCGAACATAAAAATCCACCATTTGGAGCTTGCACCCTTATTTCTTATCCGTTTGTGACTCCTAGTCCTGCATCTTTAGCCTATTTTACGCTGGGTTGTGCTATTTTATCACATTTCAGGTCCCAAGCGTCGAAGGAAAGGCTAGGCGCAAGTTTCAAGTAGATCGGATATCAATTTGCGATTCGGGAGAAGAAACTTGGGCATGACCTGAAGAAGAATGGATTTATACCTCATTTATGGACAAAGAATCATGAAAGCTTGTCATGAAAAGGAAGAGGACGAAACTACGAGCATCTGGGATCAAACGGCGACTGATTCAGAGTCCGGAAGAGGGAGAAGCTGACTCACTCCTACTGTCACTTTAGAAAATAGCCAAGTGTAACCACTTCCTAAAGCGTAGTATAGCGGGTTTGGGTTTTAATGTCAACCCGGGTTCTAGATGTGATGACTACTCAGTGAATTCTTATTATCTAGCAGTAAAACTTTAGTACAGGTCTAAACTAACAAACAAGCAAGCAGTTAAACAGTTGTTTTCAAGTCGAGAGAGGTCACCCGGATATGGTTCCCCTAGACTGCAGTTAAGGCGGATCGGAATTTACCAAGTTCAGTTTCTATGATAGTTATACAGCGGAAGGTTCTTAAACAGTCTGCAGTCTCGACTAAAGGTCTCCAGACCCTCTCAATCTGAGTCTCCAGCGGGCGACTAACCTCCACCGGAGTAAACAGATTGAGGCCCTAACGAACCAAACCTCCACTACCGAAGTGAATTCGGTACAGAATAGTGAATTGGCTCCTCGACTAAAGTCGCCAATTCACTACCTTCAATTAAGGGTGCTCTATTAATCCTAAGCAGATATTCTCTTTCTAGGCTAAAGCAGAAATAACAGGAATTTGATCAGGATTCAAGTCATTCAATCATTCAAGCCTCAATTGAATATAATCAAATCATAAAATCTGTACTTGGGTTCATACAATCAGACCTAACATACAAATCTAGGGTTCTCCATACCCAGATGAATGGGAAAACTACTCCATGGAGAAAGAAGCAAAAGCAGATTCAGATGCGGAAATCATACTGTGAAGGATGAGTTTCTGCTCATGGTCGTCAATCGGCACTTCTCCAAGCTCAAGCCGGGCTCCAATGGTGATGAAGATCAAGCTAAGGCACTTGGGAACTCTCGTTCGTCGCTTTCTCTCTAGGAATCGTTCTGTCTCTCTAAAACTCGGAACCCTTGATTTATAGCCTTCTTTTCCCTTAAAAAGTTGTCTGTCGCGATACCCGGTCGAAATACCCGATCGGGTATTTTGGGTGTCGGCCGGGTATAATCAAACCGCGCGTTTAGGAACAGAGGAAAATAGGGTTGGCAGATCGGTTGCCGGTTAGCGGTTAGCCGCCGGTTATAACCGAAAACCGGCCAAAACCGACTAACCAAAAACCGGCAAAAAATCGACCTCGGTCGGTGTTCGGATGCCCATCAGAGGGCTTCGGCTAGCCGAGAAACCGGGAATGATTAACCGCGGCTAACCGGATAACCGACCCTCACCGAAAATGTAACATCCCATTTCAGCTAAACTCGTATTACGATTGCTAGAAAATTTCACGATTTAAAATCGAGCGTTTTGATAGTATTTCGACGAAAATCGGAATATCGATCAATCGAATAAATATGTATATTAATTATTTATATATATTAATAATTACATATGTTAATTAGGCATAACCACCTGTGTGTCACAAAAATAAAGAAAGATGGAAAGAAAGGCGGCCGGCCAGCCACCTCTGCACCTTTTCCATTTATTTAAATTTTAAACCCATCGTCCCATCTTTCCCATCCCATTTCACTTTCCATTTCCCATTTCCAAAACCAGAGAAGCAGAGCGCGCACAGGGGGAGCTCGGTAGAAAATATCAAAGCTCAATTCTTGAGCTCTACTGATCCAAAAATTCCGTAAGTTATGCCTAATCCATCCATTCATCGTAATTTATAGATTTAGAGCTTTAAAACGAGTTTTTGGTTCAGGAATTTCTCGAATTCCCGATAAACCAAATTAGGGTTTCGGAGTATCCGGAAGCCAGATTGAGCCCAAATTTCATATACGAGCTTCCTGCAGCGAGGTAATCAATCCTCTAGTTCTAATCCCTGAATTTCGGCAATTATTTAGGTCGGGGTCCAAATCGCTGAATTTAGCTCCGGCCAGGGTTTGATGTGTTTTTATCGAGATTTTGA